CTCTGCTTTTTAATATGCTGTCTAGGTTTGCCATAGCTTTCCTCCCAAGGAGCAAGCGTCTAAGCTTGAGCGTATCAGGCCCCAATTCTGCTTCATCGCTGAGGCAGAACTGGATGGAAGCGTTCGGCCCTTTCTTGAGCTGCCGTTGTTTTCTCCCGGCTCCGGCACTGGATTGTAGTGCTTTAGTGGTGCTGTGCGGAAAAGCCCCGACATCAGGCAACCGACACCTTTTTCAATATTGCCATTAATTCTGCTGACATGGAACAGAAACCAGGTCAACCAATGGAAGCTCTGTCAAAATCTAAGGGCGAGTCCTAAGAAGCAGCACACTGGAGAGTATTGTCCCCAAAGCTTAAGAATTTAAATTGTCCTCCTCCTCCTCCTCCATCGGAGGAAGGGCTATCAGAATCCAAAATGGTGGCCACAGCAGTGTGATCAAAGCTGTGCATGTTTTTATGTTCGTGAGATGCACATACAAAAGGACGGAGCATCCACTGCACCATCGTGGCTGCCATATTGACTTTTCTGACCACACTCTGTAGCTGCCCTTGATTAGCGCAATCCACACAAAAGGACACGGAAGCCGGATTCCCAGCTTGTAGCAGCAGAGCGCTAACTCGGCGTCCTCCCCGCGAGTCACGCGCCGCGTCTGCCCGCGTCTCTCAACTTTCCGAAGGCGCCGGGACCGGCCCCTGAAGCGGGTGCACCGCGGCCCTCTCCAGGAGGCCCCGCGAAGCGGGCGCCAGAAGCGCCGCCTGTTGGCCGAAGCCTTCAGCCGGGCGGCTCTGTCCGCACAACCGTGCCTTGAGGGTGGCACAGAGGCTCGACGCCCGTATTGTGTGCCCTGGTGAGGCGGGCAGCGACCAAGTCTGAAACCAGTGCGTGCATACAAGCATACATACTGCGCCGCGGGCCTAAGCGTGCCACCTCGCCAGCCCCCGCCAGGCACCGCCTGAGCTGTTCTCCAACGTCCACGCAGACGAACCGGAGCGCGGCAAGGCCTCCCCGACTCCGCCTCTTCCA